ATTAATATCTGATAAACTTCAAGACAAAAGCATTACCAGAGATGAAGACACACTGTAATAACAAAAGGCTCAAGTCATCGGAAAACATAATAAATGTCTAAGTACTTGAGAGTAAAGCTTCATCAAAATGCATGAAGCAAAAAATTGACAGAAATAGAGAAGAGACAATTCCACAGTCATACTTGGGATATTTTAACATTTCATTTCAGGAATGCATAAAACAATTATACCAAAAAATCAGGAAAGATATACATGATCTAAACACCACTAACCACCTTAACCTAACTGATATATACGGAATGTTACACCCAACAACTGCAGAATACACATTCTTATCAAGTGTATTTACCAAGAAAGACTACACGCTGAGCTATAAACAAGTTGTAATAAATTTGAAAGGATTCAAATTGTAGAGTAATTTTTATGACCACAATGAAATTAAATTAGAAATGAAAACAATAAGATATCTAAGAAACCACGTAAAATTTGGCAATTGAACCACACAATTATAAAAAAAACTAATGCATCAAAGAAAAAGTTCTACAGGAAATGAGAAACTATTTTGAATTGAATAACAACAAAAAAAAATATCAAAATTTCTGGAATGTAGCTAAAGCAGTCCTTGGAGGGAAATTTATAGCTCTATAGAAAAACAGTAGTTTATGGCAGGAAAAGAGAGAAAGGAATAAGATCGGTGTAGAAAGATACAACCTACAGTTCCAATGTAAGAAGCCAGAAAAAGAGCAAAGTAACTCCAATAAGAAAAGAGAAGGAAATAATAAAAATAAACTAGAAATCAATAAAACCAAAAACAAGTTAAAATTAACAAAAACAGAAGTATTTTTTTGAAAAGATTAACAAATTTGACAAATGCCTCAGTAAACTAGTAAAGAGAAAAGAAAGAATACAAATTACTAGAATCAGGAATGAAAGTAGTTGTCGCCACAGAATCTACAAAGATGAAAGGTAAAAGAAAGTAACACAAGAACAACTTTACACCAAATTTTCTAATTTAAGTGAAATAAAGAAATTTCTTTAAAATTAACTAAAACTGACACAAAATAAAACAAAATCTGAATATAAGATATATGTTTATATATACCTTATATATATTATATAAAGTATATATAAATTTTCATATATACGTATATAAATTTACACACACACACACATGAAAATTTGGGCAGCGTGCAGTGGCTCACACCTGTAATCCTAGCACCTTGGGAGGCCAAGGAGGATCACTTGAGCTCAGCAGTTTGGGACCAGACTGAACAAGACAGTGAGACCCCATCTCTACAAAAATAAATAAAACTACCTGGGTGTGGTGGCACACACCTGTAGTCTCAGCTACTACAGAGGCTGAGATGGGGGGATCACTTAAGCCCAGCAGGTCAAGGTTGCAGTGAGCTGTGATTGTGCCATTGTACTCCAGCCTGTACAAAAGAGCAAGACCTTATCTCCAAACCAGGCCCCTCCAAACACACACACACACAAATTTTAATTTGTTATTAAAAACTTTCCAATAAAGAAAATTTCTGGCCCAGGTAGTTGCACTTAGATCTATCTATCAAATAGTTAAGAAAGAAGTAACTACAGCACTCCAGAATTACTTCTGAAAAAAACGATTTTAATAATTTAATAATGCCTCATTTAAAGAGACCAGGTAACTCACACCAAAATCTGACAAAGGCATTCCAAAAATAAAATTCCTACCAATATCCATCATATAATTTCAAAAGGTATTAGGAAATAAAATACAGCAAAATATAAAAAGGATACATTTTGGCCAAGGAATATCTAGAAATTCAAGGTTGATTTAACATTTGAAAATCTTACACGTAATTTACTATATTAAAAGAATAAAAGTGAAAAACCTTATGATTATCTCCATAGATGGAAAAAAAAGTATCTGGCAACATTTAACGTCCATTCATGACAAAACAACAACAATAACATCTCAGTGAAATAGGAATAAAAGGAAATTTCCTCAATCTTATAAAGGAAATTGATGTAACTGATGAAAACTCCACAACTAATGCCATACTTCAATTTTTTTAGAAAAGCAATATTTCAAAGCTTTTGTGGAAATCTCAAAGAATGTAAAAAATATATAGATGGAGACAATTTTTTTAACCAAGACTGTAAACTAAAAGTTATAAAAGATATATTTGAATATATAAAAGTTTAAAACTTATTAATCATAAATTATTATAAAGACAGACTAACAGAAGAGTAGAGAGAAAAGAATTCTATAATCTACAAAACACCTTATAAATTAATTAGAAAAAGACAAAGAACTCAAGCAAGACTCAGGAATAGACAATTCACAAAAAAGCAAATCTACATGTCCAATAGATTTACGAAAAGGATGTTCAAATTCACTAGTCAGAAAATACAAACAATGAATATTTTATAGCAACCACTGTGTCAAAAATTAAAAAGAATTTATACCTGCAGACATTTAAAGACTCTCACATATTGTTGGTGGAAATGTACTACGGTCTTTCTGGAACACATTTTGGCCATATCTATTAAATTTAAAACTACATATCCCTTTGATCCAGGAATCCTACATCTGGAAATCTGTCCCACAGATAAAGAAAAAAAAAAGGCACACGCTCTTTGATACAGCAATCGTATTCTTGAGAACCAATGTCCAAGAAATAAAATTCCTACTACATAAGGACATGTATAACAGGATGCTATTGTAGCAATGTTTGTGGTAGGAAAATAATGGAAACAAATACCACTGATATGAAAATTAATGAATAAATTATAGTATAACTATCCCATTTCTCACTCAGTATTCATCACAAAGATTTATTTAGATCTTTACTGAGTAACTTGGAATCATGTTTCCATGGAGTATTATTGAGTGAGAAAGATAAGCCGAAAAGCAAGCCATTAAAGTGATAAAACAAATAAAGATTACAAAAAAAGCTCTGCTTTTATTTCTGTCTGCTGTATCATATTGTAGAAGATAAATACGATAGACTATTAAGATGCGTTGGCTTTCAGTCATCAAGACTGACGGAAGGCCTATGTGTGGGAAATGCGTAGACCCCAGTCAAGAAAGAAAAAAACTTTAAAACACAGGTAAATAATGCTAGGTGCAGTGGTTCACACCTATCATCACAGCACTTTGGGAGGTAGGAGAATCGCTTGAGCCAGGAATTTGAGATCTGCCTAAGCAACAAAATAAGATCCCTTCTCTGCGCCGGGCGCGGTGGCTCACGCCTTTAATCCCAGCACTTTGGGAGGCCGAGACGGGCGGATCACGAGGTCAGGAGATCGAGACCATCCTGGCTAACACGGTGAAACCCCGTCTCTACTAAAAAATACAAAAAACTAGCCGGGCGAGGCGGCGGGCGCCTGTAGTCCCAGCTACTCGGGAGGCTGAGGCAGGAGAATGGCGTGAACCCGGGAGGCGGAGCTTGCAGTGAGCCGAGATCCGGCCACTGCACCCCAGCCTGGGTGACAGCGCGAGACTCCGTCTCAAAAAAAAAAAAAAAAAAAGATCCCTTCTCTGCAAAAAATTTATTTAAAAAAATTTAAATAGGTAAATAATTACATTCATGATATAAAAACTCAAGTAAAATTATGTATTTGTTTATATACCAAATGAATTAAATTAAAATTTATCTTATAAAAAGCTCACAACATGGTCCTTGGAAACCTTTTTACTTTAATCTCAATCTTAAATTAGAAGTTCTTCAATTTAATCTTGATTTTCAAGTTCTTTTCCTCTACGTAGACAAACAAAAGAACCTCCAGTCTGTCTTCCTATCGGAATTAAGTTTTAATTATTATCTAAGTAGATAATAATGTCTGATTCTGACAATGATCCTGAAAGAAATATCACAAAATCTGTCATAAAGCTAAGGAAAGAGAACAAGTGTATACACAACATCACTTGGCCATATCCTTCCATGGAGCTTGCTCTGGAACGCCAACCAGCTTTTTCCTCACCAAGGAGGTAATCTGCACTATATATAGTGCATGAAATCAGAGATAGTAAAGTTAGATTTAATGTTCAGTATTAAATGCTGCTGACATCTCAATGTAAATCTAAACTCAATAAAGTTCTTCAATTAGAAACATTTTACTAAAATCAAGTCATTTTTTAAAATAATGTCATAGATTCACATCTCTAGAAAAATAAACATTCCTAACTTTTATTCTAAAGGGTCTGAAGGCAAGGAGAACAACAATCAAATTTTTAGGTAATTTCCAAATTCCAACATTATGAGGAATAAATTTTACTAGGAGAAAAAATGAACAGAACAAATTTCAGTCAGCATAAATTACTTAAACGCAAGTTCAAATATGCTGACATTATTCAAATGTTAATTGTGTATCTTTACATAATTTATAAAGTTGTCCAAAGAAAACATTTCATCTATTTCTATGTAAAAAACCAATGCTTTCAATTAGAATAAAACAGATTATAAAGAATAATGCTTAAGAGTTCACTTTGAACTTCAATAGCATAGATGCTACAATAAAAACCCCGCAGTCAACATCATGAATTATGTCTTTATCTTTAATATGACATTCAGCAATAGGAAGCCCTCATTTCTAGGTATATTATTTTCTATTTTCACTTAGAAGATCAGCAGGTGGTATATAAAAAGAAAAACAGGGGGAATGTACTTTGACCCTATTCTAGCACTAAATGGAAACAAATAAGCAAATAAAAGAAACAAATACTGTATACCATACAGGTGAAGAAGAGAAATCTAGACTTAGAGAAACAAGTGGTAAAAACTGCAATGAAGTTAAGACAGTTAACCTGTTTCAAAGTAAAGGACATATTTTAAAAATCAGAAAATGTTTTAAAGAAACACATTTATGCATATACACAGAAGAAAATAAAGATTATATATAGAGAGAAAAACAATATAAGTCTTTAAAAAATGTGGTGGTGACTCATTAGAAATTTCTAAGACTAAAAAGGTCAAAATAATTCTTCCAGAAAAAGAATACCCATATAGAGTTACCTTTTCAAATTCACCATTGCCCAAGGAATCCCAGTAGGTGTGTTAAAGGCAGGAAGGAGTTTCTCAGCCAATTGCACTGCTTTAATCTTGAATATCTGAGATTTAAAACATGAATATTCATAAATGATAGCCATTAGGAGGCATTTACTTATTGCGCTCTCTCTCTCTCATAGTATACATAGCACAAGGTACTGGGTACACGGGAGCACAGGGTGGGAAAAAGCATCTCATTGGTACCATGCAGTATCTGGCAATCAGAGAATATGTTTGTAAACTGGATACTAAGGAAAGCTAACCATTCAAAGGCCTGAAACTACAACTAATTGAAAAGGAAGGACATAGTTTTGGTGTTGATAGTCTATTTTCAGCTGGCAAAAAATGTAAGAAGAAACATTAGGCTATGGATTTTTCATCCAAGGTAAACAGGTTTAGTTCAAAATATAAGCAAAAGAGGTAACTTAATTTGCATAAATGCCCTTAAGTTACTCTGAACATGTTATGTTTCAAAATTTTCCATCAAGGTTTAATCATATTATTTAAAAAAAGGAAAGAAAACATTTGAGTTCACATGCTAAGTTTACTTTGAGAGTTATAAACGCTTCATTTGTCAGTCCCAATTGCTGCTTTTTTGATATCCAAAATTAATTGCCTAAATATCAGTGGTTTCCAAACTTTTAAAATCATATAGATAGTAAAATTTCTACTATTTTCTTAGCATGTAGTATTATCAAGATGTATACAGTAAAATTTCTACTATTTTCTTAGTATATCCCAACAGATAAGTGTGTGTACTTAATTTTAGAGACCACTCACTTACAGATTCCAAACTGTGACTGGGTCATAATGTTCTGTTAGGAAAAGTAGCACACTCTCCTATATGCGTCAAGTCTATCCCCTCTCAAATGGTCTGCAAATTGATTGGTTACTTAAAATTCCATCTTTTTACTGCAGCTAAATACTTTTGATAAAAGTATTATTAGATTCTACTAATAATATAATAAGTAGTTGAAGATCTGGAATGAATCAAAATTTTGAGTTAAGATTATATTATAATAAAGCATACCAACATTACTGGGGATAGAAAACATTAGAGAGAAATACGTACAAGTAGATAAGGAAATATCATAGAGGTAACGTATCCCCATTACTCTCTCCTTCATGCACTCACCTGCATTCACTCTGTCCCTCATTAAGATGTTCCAAAGTTCCCTCAACAAGGCAAAAGTGCCTCAGCAGAACTTTTAATTAGATATACTCACACATCTACAGTTTACCATTTCCTTCAATACCTACTTTAACATCAAAACTCCAAAGAAAAACATTATAATTTAAAGTCAAAGTTGTAATAATGTTCTCATATCCATCTCATTAATTAGGAAAAGCAAATGTAAAATCAGTTCTCTCTTTATTAACATTTACATGCTAGTAAAGACAAGTTACCTTATATAGCAAATGATATTGCTTCTGTTTACCATGAAGACAAAGGAATCAACCTTCTTATCTAGGAACTAATATTAATACTACATATTTGTTAATCACACATTTTTGTATCACATCTTTTCTACATATAAAATTACAAGTGATAAAATGACCTACAAATATAAACTTTTTCTCAATAGAAAGCATGCTCAATTCACTCCCAGAATAAACCAATAATATATTGTCTAATTTTCAGCTAAAAATATTGTGTCATTAATAGCAATTAACATATAAACAGTTATAGTAGACAGGTCTAAAAGAAAACAACACCCTGATGTCATTGAGAAAAAATCCCTCACATAGTATGTAAATCTTAATTTATTCACAAATATATAAACTCTTTAACAATATATTTTAGACTTATCTTCCCTCTTTTCAGAAAAATATTTTGGTAGGCAACAGCAAATTAGTTTTCAGTATGCAATGCAGGCAAATAATACAAAATCCAAACAGTATCAAAAGTAAAAAATTAAGTCTCTTTTTCAGTTCTGTCCCTCAGCCACACGATTCCTTTTATAACGCAACCACCTAGTATCTTCTTTGTATTTCGTGCCAAATCAGTTTCATGGTATACGTGGTTCCTGATCATGTCAAAGAAAATCCTCATTCCCAAACCCTCACAAAAACAGAAATTCTGTTGCAATTTACACACACTCAGAGTCTCTGTCTCTCTCTAACACAGAATATCACACATTCTGAATTTGCTTCTTTAACTTATTGTTTTGTACCTTGGAGAGCTTTCCAAAGCAGCCTACAAATGGCTACCATCTCATTCTCTTTGGTGACTGCAGAATTTCCTCTTTTATGGATATACTGTAATTTATTTACTCAGTCCTCTATTAATGGACATTTGTTTCTATAGTATATGGCTATCTAAGATAAATTCCAGAAGTGAATTTGTTGTCTCAATTAGTATAAGCATTTGAAATTTTGGTAAGTTACTACCAATTTGCCCTTATACGTTTTACTAATTTACATTTCTACCAGCAATTTATGAGTGGCTCTTTCATGATATCTCCGTTAATACAAAAGTTATCAAACTGTTGACTACTACCCATCCGATGGTAGAAAAAGGATATTAACTCTCATTTCTTTTATTATGAATGTAACAGATACTCAAAACCCATTCAAATCCTCTTTCAAGCATACCTTCATGTATTGCACAGAATGGAAAATTATACATAACATTTGCCAGACTCCACTCCAGCTAAGGGGCTAGAATGACCAAGGCACTGCCAAGTATAAACAAGTATGTGACATTTAGAGGGAACAAGTGAGCACATTTGAAGCAGTGGTCACATGATGGGAGGCTGCTTGTCTTGGAAGCACTGTGGTGGAGGTATTTGATTCTTCTGTGGTAGTTCTAATAGACGTTCTAGTGACTGGTCTCTAGCTTCATAGATACCATAGGGGTAATGAAGACAATAAAACTGGTACTCATCAGCTACATCCTACGCTTAAGCATTTCTCCTGGCCTCAGGGATTCAAGTGTGTAACAAAAGTATCTGATTTCCTAACTTTCCCAAAGATTGTCAGCTGTTAGTACCCTCAAATAAATCACTAGCTAAAATGGATTCTGGTTCCTGAAACTAGGACTCTTGACTGATAAAATGATGAAAGTAAATAAATTATTCGCAGGTTCAAGAGGCTCAAAAGTACTTAAAAGAAGACTTCCAAACATTTCAGTCATAGAAAAAGACTTTCATGTATTGATTGTATGTAAAATGTAAAACCTTCCAGTTATTTTTATCAGAATAAATTATAAGTAATGGAACTACACTAAAATCAGTCCTAGGTTTAGAAGAATTAGGATCAGAAGAATTGACCCTAGGTCCAGAAGAACTGGAAGAAATAAAATTTAACAGACACAATGTAGCAAGATTACGAAGAGCTTTAAAGTATAAGTAATGAAAGTCAGGCTGGGAGTGGTGGCTCACCCCTATCATCCCAGCACTTTGGGAGGCAAAGGTGGGTGGATCACTTGAGGCCTAAGGTTTGAGGCTAGCCTGGCCAATATGGTGAAACCCCATCTCTACTAAAAACACAAAAAATTAGCCAGGTGTGGTGGTGTATGCCTATAGTCCCAGCTACTCAGGAGGCTGAGGCCGGAGAATCACTTGAACCCGTGGTGGAGGTTGCAGTGAACCGAGATTACGCCACTGCGCTCCAGCCTGGGCAACAGAGCGAGACTCTGTCTCCAAAAAAAAAAAAAAGAAAAAGAAAAAAGTTAAGACAACAACACAATAGGTAACACAGAACCACTGTAGATTCTTGAGGAGGGAAGTGACATTAGGATCTATATATGCTTCTTATGCTTGTTTTATTTATTAGAGTACTTAAGTTACTAAGATAATATTTTTGCAGCCTATTCTCAATCAAGCAGTCAATGTGGGAGTGTTAAATAGAAGTCAACAGTTTAGAATCCTCAAGTCGTTCCCTATCTCACTCAGAGCAAAAGCCACAGTCCTTAAAAAGGGTATATACCTATATCAAAGATGTATCCCCATAACCTTCTATGGCTTCACCCCCTCCTTCATGCACTCTCCTTCATTCACTCTGTCCCTCACACACTCTACATCAGCTCCACTCACCTCTTTTGTTGTTCTCTAAGGATGCCAGTATGTTTTCATTTCATCGTCTTTTCATTTGCTAGGCCTATTAAATGTTCTTACAAAAAATATCCTCACCTGCTAATCTCCTTCAGGTCTTCACACAAATGTTACCTTTTTATGGACTCCCTAACCACCCTATTTGAAATGTAAAATCCTTTATGCCCCATCCCGCTTTATTTTTCTCCTTGGGGGCTTATTGCTAACAGTGTATGCTCCATCATGTATAATGACAGAGATATGTGCTAAGAAATGCATCATTAGGTAATTTTGTCATTGTGCAAACATCATAGGGTATACTTACACAAACCTAGATGGTAAGGCCTACCACACACCTAGGTTATATGGTACAGCCTATGACTCCTATACTACAAACCTATATAGCACATTACTTTACCGAATGTTGTAGGTAATTTTAACACAATGGTAAGTATTTGTTTACCTAAACATAGAAAAAGTACAGTAAAAATACAGAATACAAGATTAAAAATGGTATATCTGTACAGGACACTGACCATGAACAAAACCTGCAGGACTGGAAATTCTCTGGCGAGTCAGAGGATGAGTGGTGAGTGAATGTGAAGACCTAGGACATTATTGAACACTACTGTAGATTTAAACACTGTACACTTAGGCTACACTAATTTATTTTTTACAATTATCCTTCAAAATAATAAATTAACTTTGGCTTACTATAACCTTACTATATAAACTTTTTGGTTTTTTTTTAAAACTCTTTGACTCTTTTATAATAATGCTTAGCTTAAAAACACAAATATATTTTACAGCTGTACAAAAATATTTTCTTTCTTTATATCCTGATTCTATAAGCCACTTTCTATTAAAAAAATTATTTTTTTACTTTTTAAACTTTTTTGTTAAAAACTAAGACACAAACACAAACATTAGCCTAGGCCTACACAGGGTCAAGATCATTAAAATGCCCCTAGGAAATAAGAATTTTGCAGTTCCATTATAATTTCATGGAACCACCATCATATCCATTG